TTGAGTATAGATAGATTCTTACATTGCCTGTAACTCCAAATATCGTGAAATTTCTCATATTAAACAAACCCCAAAGCATTAGTGAATCAATTAATGTAAAGGTTATGTTGATAGAACCTTCCAAGTATGTTTGATTTATGAAATATGCCTGCTGGTGGTTTGTAAAAATTTCATAGGGCTCTTGGAATAATTTCCAGAGAAGATATGTATATTCTGCAATATCTTATGATTCATATACTGTACATACACCAGAAAAGACATTTCTAGCAGCTGTCAGTGCACTTAGTTCTCCTGAAAAGCTCTTCTTTTTGATGCTCGGTTGAGTTTGTCTCTAGAATCATGTACAGCTACACACTGGCTTACTGAGGCCCAGGGTATCAGCTTCAGAGTGAAACTTGAAAATACCTGTGGAATCTGAGGGAATCAAGTGCTCACTCTGGAAATGTTCCCATTGCCTAGATATTCGTTATCCTGTTTGCTTTCCCTTTCCTTCCTCTGTACACAGCAAGCAAAGCCCACTCTATTTCTGCCAGCAATATGTATAATTACTGAGTGCTCTAGTAATGAAAGCATATATTTCTATCTCCTAAATTAAAATAGTCTCTTCTGTAGAAAACTTAATACAATATAAATACTAATAACTGAAATGTCTATAGTTGGGAATCTATTAATTTCTCCTTGTTCTTTGAAAACATGAACACAACTACTGTTCCTGTATTTATCATTTCATATTTTTTGCTTTTGTGTTTCATAATTACTGACTGAAGTGGGTTTTCTTCAAAAAAAATCTTTCTCTTTTAGAGGCATACGTCTCTTTTTCTCTCACTCCAAGATATCTGGGAGATCCTCTAAGAATGTCCTGAGACATGAACTGAAGAATCAATACCTGGATTGATTAAATAGCAAAAATTAAAACTAGAAATTTAAGCAAGGAAGCAAATGTAATTACCCATGCTTTTTTGTACATTAAGAAACTAATTGAAATTATTGTACATTAAGCAATCAATTGAAATAAATCTATTGTGACATTAAGACATTTATACATGATTCTAATGAGACGGTTGATGTTGGATAAAGACATAAGTCTTGGTCTTCTGGTTTCTACAAACAGAGCTAACAAAAATTAATCACGATCCATTAATTTTGGAAAGGGCGGTATTAAAAAAGCAGTTACATTTGGGGTGACTTGATGGCTTCTAGGAAAAACCACACAAAATTTCCATCACCAAGTTGTTTGTGATCCAGACATGGTGTCCTCCTGACACTTTCCACTGGATTTCTTCCCAATCATGCTATTTCTTCTCTCAGAATATTTCTAAAAGTAAATGTTCTTCTGTGTCCAGAGGAAAAATTGTGCAGACTTCCATTTTTTTTCCATTTCTCTCACGCTTTATTCTAACTTTCTGGTTTGGTCTCTCTAAAGTATTATTTCTGTCACATCTTCAAAAATGCTGTTCTTTCTCCACCCTTCTTACTTGGGACCATTAGAGCTTCAGGTTGGAGGAGGCTTCACAGAGGCTACAGTGGCAGCAGAAATAACATCTACACTGTAGCATAATCAGAATTAACCCTTACCCAAGCACAGTGGTTCTCATATTTTAAGAGAGGACATTTGGGTCAGCACGACAGTGCAAGGCATATGAGAAATTTGCAGTATGTTGCCCTGTGGGAAGGTGCTTCACCTACTCCAGAATTTCAACTACGGGTTAAGATCAATGATTGTTATTTTCTCTATATTTGTTAAGAGAAGGAAAATATGGGGAACGTATCTTTAAAGATATCTTGTATTATGTCATGTAGTAGCTAATTTTAACGCCATGCTAAACTGCTAGAACTGAGGATCTAAGTGGGGCAGCATATCACAGGCTGAGATTCCTGAATAACTCACATCTTGCTTAATTTTAAATATCTCTGTTCTGCTCTTCTGGTGTTATGCTTCTCCATTCATCAAATGTATTCACACACCCTCCTGTAACAACTTTCCTAATTTACATGTGTCTCTTATGGTACAGCACTGCTCTGTTCCCCTAATAATCCTAGTCTAAATTGTTCATGTGCCTTCCAGCCACTTCAGCATTCCTATACTTCCCCTGATTTTGCCTTTCCTGTTTGGAATAGACTTCTTCAACTAGCAGTAGCTTCATAAAGCTGTTTATTTGTCATTCTTCAAATCTCTAATTCCAGACTGACCTCTTTTTCTGAAAAATAAAAGAAGTTATCCAGTTAGGGATGCTTGGCCTGAACAGCAGCTGTGCCCACTCCATGAATTTTCTTCTTGCAGAGCTGACATGTTTATGGGCAGGCAGAAGCCTGCGTTGTTGCTGATAGTGCTGTAACTATTCTCAGAGTTTTTGATCAAGTTACTTCTAGGAGTGAAAAGTCATGATTACAAAGTTGTATGAAAAATAATTAAATATTCCCAAGGAAGCCTTAAAGGGACTGATCTAACTTGTGTTAAAGCTAATGGCATATTCCTATTCTTTTCATCCTGAACCAGACTAGGGCAAATTTATTACAATTTTTGTTTAAATGTTGTTTTTTACTCCTTCCATTTTGTCATTCAAATTAAGAATGTAGCCCTTACTCAAATACACTATTTACAATCTGTTTATCAAAGGGTACATCATGCCTACATGGTCTTCTGGAGGCAGGGAAATGATCACTCTTCCTATGCTTCATGCAAACTAAATGTGCACAAACCCTCAGCTGAAGATACTGCACTCCAGGTAGTCCCTGTGGGGTACACCACTCTGTGTAGGAAAGATACACAAACTATGACAGAAAGTAGTTCACCTCCAAACAGTTCACAATGCAGGCATCTGCAAAAGCTTGTGGAAATATCTCTGCCCAATTAATAGAAAGTTTATAGGTCCACCTGGGAACTTGGATTTTGATTTCAGATTCTGCACCTGACAAACAAAATTTGGACAGTGCCTGTTTCACAAGTGGCATCCTTACTTGTAGTACCATTAAATATAGACAAATGTATTTAGGAAGAAAAAGATAGCATAAATGAGATAAGCCACAGAAATGTGTAACTTTCCATACTATATGGAAAAATGCTTTCCTTCATAACAGAATGAAATCAGTGAAATCTTGGAACCAGGCTTTGATTTAACTTTTCACATAAGAAGCAACATTATAATCTCGCAACATAAAACAGTGTCTTGGCAACCTCTTTTCTGCAAAAGAAGAAGGGATATCCCATACCGTATGACATCATGCTCAGCATATTAACTAGGGGGAAAGGTGGCTGGGGGCTGCTGCTTGGGAACAGGCTGCGCATCGGTCAGTTTGTTGGAGCAATTGTTTTACATTTGCCCCACTCGCTTTTCTTGTGCTTTTTTTTTTTTTTTTTTTCCCCTCCCTCTGCTTTTGTCTTTTGTTATTTTCCTTGTTGTTACAATGTACGGTGGTGGTTGTTGTTATTATTATTTATTCTTCTTATTCTCTCCCCCATCTCATGGGGGGCGGTGGTGGGGGGAGTGAGCGAGTGGCTGTGTGGTGCTTAGTTGCCGGCTGGGGTTAAACCACGACAGTGGTAATGACTCCTGAGCACAAACAAATAAAACCATCAAGGTATGGTTAATAATAATTCTCCAGTGTCTATTTATGGGTCTGATCACTATTTCACATGCATGCCAAACAGTAACTACTCATGCTTGCAGTCCCATGGGGCACAATGTAATTCCTTGCAGCAGAACAAATCAGAAAGTGTTGCTTCTGTGTGCAAGGTAATGGTTAACAAAATGGAAGTTTAAAAAAAACCACCCAAACCTTAGAAAAGTTATTTCCAGATTATGGGATGACAGATTTATACTTCAGCAGATGAACACTACTCAGGAAGAAAACAGAGCAACACAAAATCTGTTTTGAAATAAGTATAAAAACAGTCATTGAGAATGTGACGCTTTCCTATCATAAAATGAACAGTGTTAGCCAGACAACATACAAAAAAAAATAAATGGGTGGACTATGGAAGAAACCACAGACCATCACTTGCCTTCACGTAGTTCAACTGCTTTCTGTATCTTTTAAAGTAATCTGTACTTACGTGGTGACCCACTCACTCACTCCCCCCCCCCCCCAAAAAAAAAAAAAAAAAAACTCTGGAAAACATTCTGGGCTACCAGGTATGAAAAAAAACCCTATTTTTTCTCTTTCAATTTACTGCTGCAATGACAGGAAGGGGGATTCTCCTACTCTCACTAAGCTTCAGCTGAGGGTTTTGCTTCTCAGCAGTTCCTCTTCCAGAAACATCTCGAGCACTTAGAACCATGACTCATCCGAGCCCACCTAAGGGCAGGTGGAGTATGAGAGGGACACAGCTGCAGCTGGTCCATAGCAGTGCTGCTCCGTGGCTCCAGACCCGGTGCAGCTAATGAAAACCTCCCCTAACTTCGCTGTTCCTGCCCGAGAAACCTGGGAACAGTGAAGTAATTGTGACATTATGAGAGCTGATAAGAGCAGTTCTCACTGATTCTCCTTTCTATCCCCACAGGAGTAAAGGATGAAACTTATAGTGAAAGTTTAAATCTTTAAGGGATGATGATTTACATCAGTATTCCTTGAGCGTATCTTCTTTTATTATAAGTTTCCCACTGCACTCCTCCCCCCAATATATCCTAAGGAGGATGGATTTCTTTGATGGTACTATCTAGAGACACCCTTTTAAACAGCTGCTGGAAAAAGTGGCAAGTGGTTCCTTTTTCTTGGAAATTAATGTGTGCCCAGCGCCTCCTTCTCAGCACCCTTCCTCCCTCCCCAGCACGGCCCGAGCTATGTGGAAGCAGGCAGAAAGGCAGTCAGCTGGGTTTGCGTGAAGGTTCCTGTGCGAAGGGCAAGCTGTGAAATCCGACTGTGGTCTGTGAGAGAACGCGGTAGATGGAAGAAAAACACTTGAGAACCACTTCAATAGGAGCGAACTTTCCATTCAGAAGCAAGCCAGACGACTTAAAAGCCAGTATCAAAGTTCCTTTTATTTGACGGCAGCACCGTCCTTCGCGCAGAAAGAAGAAAGCTGTTCTTAGCCGGTTGGTGGTACCTTTCGAGCAAGTTTGTTTGCCTCCTGACTCCATCTGCTGGGAAGACACCCCACTACCTGCCGCCCGCCCTGCCACGTTTGGGAGGAGTGCAGAAGTGAATCACCGTGCATTCGCTCACCCTCCCAGCTTTACCGTGTCTCTCTGGATATTTAAATATCGGGCAGCTTGGAAGCAGCCACAGCAGTGAAGTCCTGCCCTGCAATCCTTCATGCACAGTCACTCGAACGCTCTTCTGCAACGTGTGGGGGGGAGTTGGCTCAGTTGCCTCTGGATGCTCGTGTAGCAGGAGGCTGCTCTTCTCGGGAGATCAGAGGCGCCCGGAACAGGGTTTTCCTCGGCCTCTGCTTTTGCTTAAAACGCTTACATAACTTCTGGAGCAGAAACGGGAATTTAGATGACTTTGCCGTCCGGTGAATGCTGCGGCCACTCCTTGTTCGTCCTCCCGGCTCGGTGGACGGTAGGTGAATGGTTCCCGCAAGCTGGAAAAGCGGCGGAGGAGACGGGGCAGGCGGGAGGACGGGGGGCCGCATCCCCGGGGCGGTCAGGGCCGCCCCCCCGGCAGCCCGGACTCCGCTGCGGCCCCCTGGCCGGGGCAGCGCCCCTCCCGCCCGGGTGCCCGAGCGCTGGAGTCTCACGCTCCGTTCCCACCCTTTCCCCCGGCTCCCGCCTTCCGAAAGGTGCCCGCAACGGGGCCGAAACGCCGGCTCGGGTTCAGAGGAACTTCTTCGAGGGGGGGTGGGGTCTCGGGCCGGGCCCCCGGGCGCTCAGGCGAGGAGGACCCGGCGCTGAGAGGAGCGGGGCGCCCGGCCGGCGGCTGCCCGGGGACACCCCCCCCCTCCCCGGCGCCCCATCGCACGGGAGGGACAGCCAGGAGAAAGGGCTCTTGGCCGCGGGCAGCCGCCCCCACCTCCCCCGCGGAGCTGAGCGGGGGGGACGCGGCCCTGACCCACGGGGCGAACGTCGCCTCTGCGCAGCGGGACACCCCCCCCCCCCGCAGCCCCCTCAGGCGGTGCGGCGGGAGCGGCGCGCAGCCCGCCCCCCCCCCACCCCCCCCCCCCGCCGGCAGCAGCAGCGCCGGGAGCCGCGGGGAGGCGGGCGCGGGGGAGGCGCTGCCGCCGGCCGCGCTCCGGCCGCCCCGCACCGACGTCGGCGCGAAGCCCCCGCCGGCGCCCGCGGGGGAGCGGGGGGTGGGCGCGTCGCGGGTGAGCGCAGGCAGATGCTTGCCGAGGCGCAGCCCCGCCGGGGGGGCTCGGCACTGCCCGCTCCCTGCCCCTGGGACGGCTGAAGCGCTCGGCCCGCCCGCCCCTCTCCGGGACGAGGGACCCACCGGGCGGGTGTCAGGGAGCCCGGCGGCGCCGTGCGCCCCTCCGGGGAGTGAAGGGGTCGTCCCGGCTACGCCAGTGCGGGCGCCGAACCGCCGCGGAGGTGGCCCGAGGTGACGGGAGGCCGGGAGAGGTGCCGCGCCAGCGTCGGGAGCGCTGCCCCCGTAAGTCCCGGTAACTTCTCCGCCTGCCCTTCCCCGGGGAGACCGGCCTCGGGGCGCCCAGCGAGCGGCGGGGAGGGGGCTACCGGGGGTGGTGGCGGGGGGCAGACCTCGGCTGGCATTGCATGAAAAAGAGAGGGGGGAGAAAAAGAGGGGAAGGGGCTTGTAGGAGCTCCGACCCGCAGCAGCGGCGCGTGCGGCGGAGGGGGGGCCGCGGGTGGACGGGGACCGGTGAATCCCGGAGTTCCCACTGCGGGTTTTGAGCTGGCGAGCCGGTGTGGGTGGTAGATGAGTAGCCGTTCGCCGTCCTGGAAGTACAGGGCATTTAAATGACACCCGAGTCACTTGTCCGTGCTTCTCATTCATGTCAGATACTATTTCCCTGCTATTTTTCATCTGCTGCACCAATATCTGTACTTAGTCATTTCACACCGCAAATGTAAAAACAACGTTAGTAGATTTCAGAATATTGCCACTGATGGCGGTAGATTAATGTATGAGACTATTTACTGGATGTGTCCAAGCACAATATAAATGCCTGCCAATTTTGTCTTTAAATTGCTATATTGATTTCATTCTTGCGGGCTTTTTGACAAGGTTAATGTAGTTGACAATTTGCAAAGTAAAGAGAAAAACTTATTTTAGTTACAGAGTGTCAGTTGTAACTAAAATGATGAACGAAAAAATCATTCATAAAAAGAGTAAATAGATGTGTATCCCAAGACCTCTTGGAGTCAATATTGTCAGCATCTAACAGATGCCTTCCTGCCGTGCTTTTACATACATTGGCTACCACTTGAACTTCTTAAGGGTAATACAGTGTGTGATATTCTCCCCAGGACTGTGCACTTTCCCTGTTAAAATAGAGTTAAGTAGTCTGGCTAAAGGGAGTTTAGAATTAATTCATCAAGTCATCACATTAAAATGCCTTTGTATTTTTGTATGCACCGAATGAAAGAAAGCTCATGCTTCTGCTTCTTTTCCCCTCCTGTGTTCATAGGATGGTGTTCAGGCGGGGAACCCTTGTGTTTGGTCAGTGGAAGGGTCCCTACCCTGCGTTAGGGCTGGATGTATCAGAGCTGACCAGCATAACATTTCTCTGCTGCCAACAGCTGCAGGTGGCATCTAGCTGAAGGGAGAATTTAATTCACCACTCAGAATCCCAAGCATAATTGTCAAGTAGGTAAATTAAATACAGGAGGACTAATAATTCCTTTTAATTTCTTCAGACATCTGCCAACCTTTACCCGTAGGTAACCTTTGCTAAGTTGCCTCCCTGGGGTTTACTATAGTGGTCATATGCTGGCTGACATGAAATTATTCTGAATGAACTAAACCATTGTGTTTCAGTACCTACGGACATGTAGTAAAATATGCGAACTTTATAACTCTTGAGTAAATGTTGACCCTGCTAAAATCAATGGCAAAATCCCAATTTACTCCTCCAAAGAGGAGGGCCTTCATTAGGTTCACCGTAGGTCTTCATTATCATTTATACTGAGTGCCAACCAACTTTGGTTAGAAATTCAAGTGGCAATGTTTAAATTTGACTAGTGATGGCAGTTCTGACAACTCACCACAGCACTGCTTTAGTATCATGGGTAAGAGCCACACAGGTCTTAATATTTTAAAAAAACCTATATACAGTAAACTGTATTGTGCTTTCAAGAGGGTTAGGCATTTCAGATTTGTCTTTTACTCCAATTTTTATGGGCAGTTTCATCAGAATGGATCATAAACAAGTTGGATTGCAGTTTATATATGTACCATATTTTAGCAGAGGTATTCAGACAGTATGGGGCGGGGGAATAATACCAGATTATGTTACTTATATATCAAAGAAGTTCACAAATAAACTGCTAAATATTTGATGTACTGTAAAAAAGTCAGCAAACAATGGAACTGTGTTACAGTTTAGTTCTCTGTGGCTCATAAGCTTTAATGGGAGATAAAGGAACAGAAACATCTTTTTAGAAAGCTTTGTTAAAATATTACCAAATAATACATTCACAAGGATTAGCTTAAACTGACGGAATCCAGTTTAACAAACTTTTTTTGTTCTTCATGCCTACAGCAGAATGGTTTTGAAAGCCATCTGAAAAAGTTGAGAATTTTCATTAAAGATTAAAACAATGTACTACAGAGTGTTTGCTAAATTGTTTTTCTTCCAAGTCTCTTCCAGATTTAAATCTGGAACAATACTGGATCGATGCTTAAAAGCTAGCCAGTTAGTATTATATGTTAATTTTAAACCTGTATCTATGGACCTGGAAGAAGCTAAACAGGCACTTGTAGGTTCTCTCCTATAATAATATTGGCATGACCAACATAGCTGCCAATACTTTCTGTTAATTTTATGTAAGCAAAAATGGAAGAAGAAAGGGTATATCATGACTGAGAGTCTTAGAGTTCCTGAAAATCATTAGATAGAAAAAAAGACTCTTCTATATTTTTTTAAAAAATTATGCATGCAAATACAGTTTTTGGGAAAATGAGCAACTAAATAATTGAGCTACACTTGACTGAAAGCTGTGCTAGCAAGTACCATGAAATTCAGTTCTGAAAATACCCCTTGGTTCTGCATATTAGTAAGCTGGTAAGCTCAGTTTTGTTTTTTTTTTTTTCCTGGTAATTGATGTTTGGGTCCTAACTGTTGCCACTGAAGTCAGTATTGAAACTCATATTAATGCTAGCACATGTTCTGTTTTCAGCTGGGATAGGGTTAATTTTCTTCTTGGTAATAGGTACAATGCTGTGTTTTGGATTTAGTGTGAGAATAATGTTGATAACACACTGATGTTTTAGTTGTTGCTAAGTAGAGCTTATCCTAAGTTAAGGATTTTTCAGTTTCCCGTGCTTTGCCAGCAAGGAGGGGCACAAGGAGCTGGGAGGGAGCACGGCCAGGACAGCTGACCCGAACCAGCCCAAGGGGTATTTCATACCATAGGATGTCATGGCCAGTATATAAACTGGGGGGAGTTGACATAAGGGGGAATCACTGCTCAGGCATCAGTCAGCGGGTGGTGAGCAATTGCACTGTGCATCACTTGGCTTCTCTAGGGTTTTGTTTCTCTCTTTTTGTGATAGTTCTTTTCATTACAATTATTATTATATTTTATTATTGTTATTATGATATTTTATTTTTGCTATTAAACTGTTCTTAACCTGTGAGTTTTACTTTTTTTCAATTCTCCTCCCCATTCCACTGGGAGGGGGGAGGAGTGAGCGAGCGGCTGTGTGGTGCTCAGTCATTGGCTGGGGTTAAACCACGACACACAGATCCTACCTGGGCCTTTCAGGAGCGATCCTGTTATGCGCTAAGCACTTTCAATTGATGTTTGTGTTAGAGTGGCATCCAGTCAGGTCCCTGCCTAGAAGTAGAAGCATGGAGTAAAATCAACTTTCTTGGAAAATTTGCAATGTAAACAGTCAGGAGACACTAAGACATCTTGCTAAAGGGCATGTAGTAGGGCAACAGATGATCTAGGCCTGAAACATGAGTTTTTATGCATAGTCCCTACTTAACAAGGGAATGTGGAGCACCTTTTAACAGGATTAAATGTTAATTGATTCTTTGATGAAGGTACCCAGCAATGAATGACCAGTGCCTTAATGTTGTATGTTATTTCCCCCGATCTTGTTTACTTCAGTATTAACCTTTATGTTTACTAGTAGTTGCCTGCCAAAGAACAGCACATAATTACATGTTGTTTGTTCTGTGCTGGTTTTTGGTCTTACACCCACTTTCCATTTGACGTTGCTTTTAGTCACTTCCCTACTTAGGAAGGAGTGGGTCTGGCTGCTAGAAGCCTCTGGTACATGAGGCAGCACAAGTGCCAGCGGCAGGACATGCCCCTGTGACCCAGTCCTGAGAAGCAAACCACCGGTCTCTGGATGGCTGCCATGCCTACGTGACAGAGCTGCTTTGAGTACCTGAAATGACTGCTTCAGGATGAGCCCTGGCATCTCTGCAT